CATGAGACAAAGTGTATGTGAACTGCTGTATGGAAAGTGAATTTGCTCTGTAAATCTTCACCCAAATCACAATAAAAAAAACATAGTTTGTCACAGAGTTAAAATCTAGGTTTAGATAAAAAATAAAAAAAATACTGCCATTACTAAAAGAGTTTGCAGACTAATCATCTGTTGTTGAACTATGAATAGTTTTGAACCAGGTAATTAGAAAATTAAGTTTTCTTTTAAAATTTCCTTGCTACAGTTTATCTTTTTTGATTTATTCTTCATTTCTCATAAATACACATTTCTTTGGTTGTGGTTTGTTAAGGCCTACTTTGTGCAGGGTGCTTTATTAAACTCTAGAAATGAAGACAGTCTCTCTGTCTTCAGTGAATTTTTAATTTCCGGGTACTTAGATATTTGCTACGTGGATGACATAGTTAAACCAATCATGAATAAAGAGAATGGGTTCATTTCTAAAGATATTAATAAACTAATGAGATTATGGAAGAAGTAGATAGACTTGTATTAAATTAATATTTTATACAGTGGCTCCCTGTGGGGCTCATTAGTTAGTCCAGAGTTATTTTGGTGAACAGGGAATGAGAAAAAAGGTCTTGTCAAACCTTGTTTGCTGAAATACTCCTGCTCTGCATAGAGATTATCTTGACTGCTTATCTTTTTTGTGTCTTCAGATACAGACTCTCCCCTAGACAAGTGCTGCGTGTAACTGCTAGATTTGCTCCACTGAACCTTTCTTTCATATGCTCCATTGTTGCCAAGGCCCCCATCTCATATATGGTCCTTCTTTGCAAGTGTCAGTGGTACCATCTAATTGTTCCTTATGAAGCTAGGAGACATTCTCTCTTCCCATTATGCATTTAATTTGCTTTTTCTCTTTATCTTAAGTTTCTTTGTGCTATTTGTATAATATAGAGGTAGAATGTGTAGGATACTATATGTGGCATATTTCATTTGTGAAAGCAATTGACTATCCTCCTGTTCCCTCTAGTAATTTATGTGCTGAATCTTTGAAAATTACATTTTTTAAATGGCTTTGATTGTGCTGCAAGTTTTTGCATTTAATGTTTCTTGATGTAAGTGAACGATTAGCTGCAGCTTAGAGTTTTCATGTGTCATGCATTAGCCAATTTACTGTGATGGGCAATTTAAATTTTGTTTTAGCGTCTTAAAGTTGTCCTTTAATTCTGTAAATCCCGTGATTGACGTAAAAGAGAAAGGAAAGAAAAGAACAAAGATATTTGGCCTATAATTATTTTTTCCCAACTTATAGACTTTTTTCATATTTTAATATTTCTGGAAGCAAGATACATTTTTAAGTTTACAGATTTATTCTATATATTTGCATTTACGGATATATTTACAAATATGTAATTATATTTAATATATTCAAGTAATTCCCTAAACGCTGTTGTTACTAAGTTGACAGTTCATGTTTTAAGCAGTGATATTTTATACTAAAGAAATACAAAAGTTTTAAATTAAGGTAACTTGGTTATGGTTATTAGCTCACTGCCATCAAGTAGGATCTGACTCATAGCGACCCCTCCTTGGGTTTCCGAAGTGGTATCACTACAGAAATAGATTGCCTAACCTTCCTTTCGAGGAGTGGCTGGTGTGGTTGAACTGTCAGTGTTTTGGTTCACAGTCAAAACCCTTAGGCATTATGCCACCAGAGCCCCCAGGTTATGGATAAAGAAATGTAATTATTTAAAATTCTTTCACATTAAGTATTTGTTACCAATTTTCATCCTTTCTGTTTAGAAAGTTCCTCCATCTCTACTCTGTGAAGTAAATACGAAAGCCAGGCTGACCTGTCTGGGAGTATGGTTGGACAGAGTGGCAGACACAAAGGAGAGCCTACCTCCAGCTGCACAGCCTTCTCCTGGTAAATGAAGTCAATCATTTTTTCAAATTTGAATAATGTATTACTTCTTACATTGGAGTTGAAGTTGAAATTCAGATAAGTTTGCTTTATTGTCAGCCTTTGTGCATTCTGTTGAAAGGGGAAAAGCAGTTTTTAAATACAGTGTCTTTTGTGTTTCAGTAAGTAAAGAGGCACAGTACAAAATCAACCAGAAGGAATCTGGCGATATAGTGCAGGAAGAAGAACGGCACTCAAAACCTATTGCAAAGAAACATGGTTTAACCAGAGGCAATGATAAACCAAAGGAAGAAAATAGCCTCGTGTCACCCAAGAAGAGAAAAGTAGCAGAAATATTGATAAAGAAAAGAAAAAAGAAGGAAATATAAATGATGTGGCAAATCCCAGCTTTCTCCTAAGAGAAGACTTTTTTCTGAGTAAAATCAAGAAGTTTCTTCTGGAGAAACTGGATCGCTTTAAAAATTAATTTTAGGTGTGTTTTCATAAACCGATAAAATTATTTTTGATAGGAAATATTGTATCATGGTGATATATACTGATGTATATATTATTTTTACCATTGTGTTAAGCAAATAATTTTTCTCTCAAAATGTTATAATTTTAAATAATACAAAATTGTGAACACATCCTTTGCCAGAGATTCACAGAGGTGTTCTCTTTCAGTTTTTCTCCTAAATGTAGAGAGAATTTTAAAAAATCACCCTATTTTGGCTTCTTCAAATGGTTTTTAATAAATTTTTTATAGTTCTAGTCATTTTAATGCAAATTTTACTCATTTGGATGCCGAAAGGTATAAAAAGATTTTCATACCGAGAATTGTGTTAAGACAGATTTGAAAATTACAGATACACAAAGCAAATATATGTATGTATATATTTGTGTATAAAACTTATGCTTAAGTTCATATGAGCTGAACATTTATATCAGTAGATAAACTCTTCAGAGAGATTAGTCATGGGAACAGAAGGGCTGTGTATGCACAGGGAGACAGCTCAGGAGGCAGGAGTGGGTGAAGGGAAGGACACAGGGAAGAGGTAACTATGGGAGGAAGTGGGAGGGGAGCTGTTGCATTGTGGGAAATTGCTATCAATATCATGAGACAAAATGTATGTGAGCTGCTAGATGGAAAGTGAATTTGCTTTGTAAACTTCACCCAAATCACAATAAAAATGAAAAAAAAAAAAAAAAACAACTTATGCCTGAGTTTAGGGCTAAGTACATAAGTTTATAGAGATATTGCCACACTTCTTTCAACTGCTCTTAGCAAGCTGTGGGTTGACAAGTTAATGAGGAAAATAAATTTTCAATTTTTGTTTTCATCCATTTCAGGACATCAAAAAAATCACAACCGAGTCAGAAAATGGACAAGGGATGAATAGACATTGCACCAAAAAGGATAGGCAAATGGCCAATAAACACATGAAAGAATGCTCAATGTCATTAGCTATTATTGTCATACTATGGAATCAGTTCCAACTCAGCAATCCTATTGGACAGAATAGAAATACCCCATAGGTGATCTTTACAGGAACAGATCACCAGGCCTTTTCTCCCACAGAGCAGCTGGTAGGTTTCAACCACTGACCTTTATAGTTAGCAACTAAGTGCTTAACGGTTGATCACCAGGGACCTCACTCTTATTAGAATGAAAATGAAAAGAAATACAATGATAAAAACAGGTTTTGAATAAGTCAATCACAGAAGGACAAATATTACTAATCCACTATGGTAAAAAGTCAAGTAGCTCTGGTGACATAGTGGATAAGGCATCTAGCTCCTAACCAGGAAGGAGGTCAGTACTTCAAACCAACCAGCTGCTACAGCCTCAGAAACCCATTGGGAGTTGCAATGAGTTGGAACCAACTTGATGGCAGTGAGTTTAGTATGGTTTATTGTAAAAAGTCAAGGAATGGTTTATACATGGAAGGAAAATGTCTTTGTTGGTTACCAGAGAAGGGATAGAAAATTCCTAGATAGGTTGGGGGGGAAAAAAAATAGAGAAACCAAAGATGATTAATGGTTACCAGCGGAGCAGGGAAGCTTTTGTTTGTGGGGCACTGAGATTATGCTAATGGTGGTGGAATGTTTTGGAAAAGGCTAGCAATAATGGTGGAACAACATGAAAAATGTCATCAGTGTCCCTGAGCTGTAAATGAGGAAGTTGTTATGTTGGTGAATGTTTTCTTGTGTTTGTTTTCACCACAATAAAAGTTAAAAATGTTTTTTGGCACAGTCTAAAGAGTTAAAAGAGTTTCAGTTGAGGGATTACACAAAAGACTTACAGAGTAGTGCGTAGAGTGAGTCAAAGAGCCCCTGGTAGTGCAATGGTGAAGTGCTAAGTTGCTAACCAAAAGAGGGGAAAAAAAACTGGTGGTCTGCTCCCATGAAGACTGCAGCCTAGAAAATCATATGGACTGGATGGTGTCCAGCTACCATTACTTAACATTTTGACCAAAGGTTCTATAGAAGAATCCTGATCAAAAGGGAAAAATAGAGCACAGAATTTCAGATTCTCATGGACGCTAAACTTTCTGGGTTGGATGAAGCCTGGAAACTGTTGCCATGAGACAATCTTTAATCCTGACACCAAAAATATAATATCCCCTAAAGTTTTCTTAAAAACAAACAATAGTTTAGCGTAACTAGTAAAAAAAAAAAAGTCTGCCTTGAGCTTTATGATTTTTTAAGAACTATATGGGATCAAAGTGCAACTGCAATTCAAAAGATTAGATAGGAACATTAAGAGGCAATGAAGTTATGTTAATGGAGAGAAGCAAGTCAGGAAAGAGGGTGAGAATGGTTGCATACTCAAGGAATGTAACGATGTCACTGAATTATACACATGTGTGCCATCGAGTTGGACCCAATTCATAGCGACCCCTCCTTGCGTATCCGAGGTAGTATCATTACAGAAGTAGATTGCCCCATCTTCCTTCCAGAATCATATACATAGAAACGTTTAATTTGTGTACATTTTGCTGTGTATATTCTCAACAGCAACAAAATAAATTTTTTTTAAAAGGCTACATTAAGGAAGAAAAGTCCTATAAGGCAGTTCTACTCTGTCTTATAGGGTTAACTGTGAGTCAGAATTGACTCAAGAGCACACAACACCAATCGTAAATTAACCCAAACCCAGCCAGGTATTATCTATGGAGTCAGTTCCAACTCAAGACAACCCCACGTGTGCAGAGTAGACATGCTTCATAGGTTTTCTGGGTTGTGATGTCTCAAAAAAGATTGCCAGGCCTTTCTTCTGAGGCACGTCTGGGTGGATTTAAACCACCAACTTGCCTATTAGTTGTCCAGCAGTTTTGGGTTACCAGTGAGTCAAACAGCTGTTTTCAAGTAACAGTTCTACCAAAAAACTGTAGGCAATTTATAGTTCTCTGGTGGCATAGTGCCTAAGGCATTTGACTGCTAACCAGAAGGCTGGCGGTTCAAACCCAGCCACTCCTCCAAAGGAAGGTTGGGCAATCTACTTCTGATACCACCTCAGAAACTCAAGGAGGGGTCATATGAGTCGGATTTGACTCAACAGCAGTGAGTTTGGGTTTTTTTGTTTGGTAAAGTTCAATAAAGGAAGCTCTGTTGGCACTGTGGTGAAGGATTGGGCTGCTAACCAGAAGGTCAGCAGGCAAACCCACCAGGCGCTCTGCAGGACAAAGATGAGATTTACAGGCCTGGAAACCTACGGGGATGGCTAAGAGTCGGAAGTTCAATTAGGAGCCCTGATGGTACACTGGCTAAAGCACTCAGTCTGTGAGTAATCCCTCACAGACACCCAGACGCTATGGGAGAGAGAGCCAACAGATCGGCCGACTCAGAACCATAGTACTGGGGGACACCAGACTCAATTGGCACAACAAAATACATAGAAGTCTTGTTCCTTATCCTACATTGGTGAGTAGCGACTGAGGTCTTAAAAGCTTTCAAGCAGCCATCCAAGATGCGCCTAATGGTCTCCTAGCGTCGGAAACGAAGAAGAGTGCAAAAAAATGAGCATTTGGAAGCAATCAGCCCTAGGACACGATGGCCCTCTAGACCAGAAGAACTAGATGGTACCTGGCTACCAATGCCAACCACTCGCGAAAGGATCAAATCTGGAGCTCCTGGATAGAGTGGGAGGAAAACGTGGAACAAAATCCAAAAACTCAATAATGACCCAGAATTACTGGTTGGATGGAGTCTGGTGAGACCCCCAATACTATGGCCCTGGGATACATTCTGGGCCTGGAATAAAACTCATTCTCAGGGGCTGGCTCTCAGCCCAATAGTAAACAAGATGTGTGTGCAGACCACTCAACACATACAGTGTGTGCAGCACCTGCACCCACATACTCTATGGAAATGCATCCCTTGGAGCAATGGGACCTTGGGGCACCAGAGAGGCAACAGTCTCATGGAGGAAATGCAGGACACACAGGAATGCATAACTATGAGGGGCACGGAGGGAGGGGGGGGTTACTGGACAGGGAGGGGAGGAGACTGGGTTAGGGTTGGGCATGGTAAATGGGGAGTGAAACTAAATGTACACATAATGTTAAATGTCAAATAAACTCTGCTCTTTAAAAAGTTTAGATAAATAAAGATAATAAAAATAATAAAGCACTCAGTTGGTAGTTCAAATCCACCAGCCGCTCTGCAGGAGAAAGATGTGGCAGTCAGTTTGCTTCTGTAAAGATTTATAGCCTTGGAAAACCTATGAGCAGTTCTACTTTGTCCTATAGTGTCGCGCTATGAGTCAAAATCAACCACCTGAGTGGGTTTTGGGTGTTGGGGGTTCAATTTAAGTTTAAAAAGCAAGGGAGGAGGGGTAATGATGCATATGATAACTGAAATTTAAAGCTTACCATCTTAATAGCTCTGAATGAGTCTCAGTCCGTTCTAATTGGTTAAAACCAGTCCCATTGTTTTTGGTTTATTGTTCGGGAACAGTTTTCAGTTAAATTCGTGAGGGTCTGCATACCAGAGTTACAAAGTTCTTAGTCATTTTCATCTTTGGCTGCTTAGAATCAGTTTGGGTATCTCGAAGCCATCTTGCGTAGCCCGGCTCAAATTTTGGGTTTCTGACTTTCGGCCGCGGAGTTTTGCGCCGGGACTGACGCCGGTTGGCCCAGTCCGCGCCCCGCCCCTGGAACACCGGGTTAGGGCCCAACGCCCCGCCCCACGCTCGCAAGCCCCGACTCTCAGCCGCACCCAGCTCCGCTCCCGGGCGCACGACGACGTTTCCGGCAGGGCTGTGAGTCCCCGCCTCACGGCCTCCGCTAGCTTGTCCGCTGGAGCTGACCTCGGGAGAGCAGATCTGGTACTTGGGAATTATTATTATCTTTATTTTATTGCTGTTTTAAATTACTTTTGGGGATTATTTAATAGGCTTTGCTGCCGCCTGCTTTATGCACCTTAATCCAGGTGAGGTTTAGGCGATGCTTTTCTAGTGGTGGTGCTTTTTCTGCCTTCCTTAAACTAGGTTGTCAGTGCTGCCGAAAATTCGGAACTCCTGAGGCAAATGCTTACCGATAGCGTAGTAATGATTTGTTTCGTGGAAAATTTATTGCTTAGTTCCCCTTCGAACTAATAACTACTAACGATTTCACTACCCCTTTTGTGAAAGCTTTATTATTGAAACAAAACAAAAAAGATAAACATCGTGTTTTGCTTTTAGCCCTACTAGGTTCGTTGGTTACAAAATGCATTTCTTCAGGGAAAATAGGAATTACTTTGCCAAGAATGTAGTCTATGACTGGGGTTTCCGTATATTTTATTCCCCTCCCCCCAATCTGTCAAGACCTGTTTCTTACTGAGTGCTGAACTAAACGGTCATATAACATAAGCATTACAAATATTATGCATCGATAAACCTTGATTATTGGGACAGAGGTGAAAGGCCTTCCACTCCACCCCCAAAAAAATAGAATAATTGTAACGTTTGAACCGAAGGCACAGAATTGTTATTTGCTTTGCTGATTTAGTAATTATTTAAGTTAACTAACAGAAAGGTTAAGTTGCTGAACAGGTCAATGAATGTTGCTGTTTCCTGTGGGTTTATGTTATTAGAATTGCGGTTGTTGCAGAAATGACTGTATCTGTTCAGCATTACTATGTTCTAAGCACTTTTTTTTTTTCTTCTCTATCACTTGTGTGTGTGTGTGTGTGTGTGTGTGTGTGATCTGCGTGAAAGTTTACAGAGCAAATTCACTTTCCATACAGCAGTTCACATACACTTTGTCTCATAACATTGACTACAGTTTACCACAATGCAACAGCTCTCCTCCCACTTCGTCCCAATAGTTAATCTCTTCCCTGTGTCCATCCCTCCATGCACTCCTGCCCCCTGAGCTGTCTCCCTGTGTGCTAAGCACTTTTTAGGATGCTCTGGTAATGTAGTCCCTAAGACACTTGACTGCTAACCAGAAGGCTGGTGGTTCAAACCCACCAGCCACTCTTCGGAAGGAAGGTTGGGCAATTTACTTCTGTAGTGATACTGCCTCGGAAACCCAAGGAGGGATCGCTATGAGTCAGGTCCGACCCAAAGGCACATAAGAACAACAACAAGCACTTTTTGCACATTGCCCCATTAAAGGCTCACAACGACCCCAGGAGTTGGTACCATTGTTATCCCTGTAGAAAGATGAAAGAAACTGGGGCCTAGAGAGATTGCATAGCTTGCCCAGGACCTCTTAAGTGGCAGAGATGGAACTTGGATCCACTTTTTTTTTTGCCTGCCTGCCGGAGTTCTATGCCTTTAATCACCTCTGATGCAGCCTTTCCTTTGCAGGTGCAGGCCTAGTGTCCTCTCCCAGTTGGCCAGAGGAAAGAGAACAATGCAGAAGGAGTCCAGCCCACTGTAAGTGCACAGTAAATGGAAATGGAATAACCAGAAGGTTCTCAAAACCAAAGTTCCTTCCCCCAGATGCGGAGGCCCCTAAGGAGTCTGCTAGAGGCAACAGGGGCATGGCAGGAACACTGAGCATGTCCAGAGACCTGGGTTTGAATCCCACCTGTGCCCCTGACAGATTATGTTACTTTACGCTAGTCCTCTAACTTCTTCAAGCTTTGTTTTTCTCATTTGTACAGTGAAAGGATTGTTCTGGTGTGATAACCTTTTAGTCCCATCCTGTGATTATACTGTTTGATTTTAATACATAGTTGCCACTGATTTCTTTTTGTTTTAAAATTGTGATTTGGGTGAAAGTTTACAGGACAAATTCATTTTCTATACAGCAGTTCATACACATACTGTCTCATGATATTGACTGCAATTTCCCACAATGTAACAGGTCTCTTCCCACTTCCTCCCCATAGTTAACCTCTTCCCTGTGCCCTTCCCTCCCATGTACTCCTGCCACCACCACCCCCAGCTATCTCCCTGTGCAAACACTGCCCTTTTGTTTTCCCATGACTGATTGCTCCAAGGAGTATATCAACCTGATGTAAATGTTCAGCCCATATGCCTGTCTCTTATGTGCCTGAAGCCACAGGAGTGAGTTCAATTCCAGATCTGAAGGGTAGTTAGAGACCATAGTCCCAGAAGTCTTGACAGGCTCTATCAGACCAGCAAACCTGGTCTTTTTTTTTTTTTTTTTTATGATTTTGAGTTTTATTCCACATTGTTCTCCCACTCTATCCAGGATCTCCTGTCCCAGTCCCCCTCGAAGTCACTGATTTCTTACTCTTGCATTTTCAGAGTGCCCTTACATTGGCTTGGCTTTGGCTACGCAGCACTGGTTGCCACTGGTGGGATCATTGGCTATGCAAAAGCAGGTACGATCTTGTGGTTACTTGATCTCTTAAGATCTTCACCATGTTCCTGGTGAAGAGTGAGTCTTCTGGGTCCCCAAGGAAGGATCTTGTTGGAGTTAGGTTTGTCTAGGCTTTGTAAGTTGAGTGCTGGCTTATTGTCAGTCTCAGAGCTTCTTCTGTACTTGCCTTTTGGTTATCTGGCTGAGCTAAGCCAGGCTTGCTTCTTCTAGAATTGTTTTTGCCTCCTTATCTGAAGCTGCTGGCAGGGTGGTAGTAGATTTTGCTTATCATTGACTACCATATGTGAGCCTTATCCCCAAAAGCATCATCTTCACTCTCCCAGCAGGAGAAAAAACCTCCAGCCTTCACCTCCCCATGGTTTGAAGTCTCCTCATTAAAATAGGTGTGGGTATGCCAGTGAACATACCTTCATCCCCAACACACACACTAGAGTTCTTATTTTTCCAGATAAGTTTTTAACTGATTGACCACCTTTGCCTCTCCTTTCTTACGTGCAGTCCTGCTCCCATACACAGTTCCAGTCCTTGATGATCTGGCCTGGTTAGGAGCTCTTTACTCTTTAGATGGAAGTGTCCTGCCTGTGAGAGGAGAGAGACATGTGTGTATTACCCTGACTTCTTTGGTAAAATAGAAAATACCCCAAAACATTGACCTTGAACTGTATTTAAGGAAGTTTTAGAAGTTCTGTTTGCTGTTTGTTTGTTTTACTGTAGGGTTGGGGAGTTTGTTGGATTCTGTTAATAAATAGGGTCTGACATTACAATGCAGGCATGTGTTTGCTTCCCTCTAGGTAGCGTCCCATCCCTGGCTGCTGGGCTCTTCTTCGGAGGGTTAGCAGGCCTGGGTGCTTACCAGCTCTCTCAGGATCCCAGGAATGTTTGGGTTTTCCTAGGTATGTCTATTCCACCATCTCCCTGGACATTATGTATCCATAATAGTCTTCATCTAAAGGCCCTGGCCTAGTGGGATATGGCAGTTACTCACATGTAAGACAATTTCACTACTTCTGCCAAGTTCTAGAAAAGTTTTAAAATAGAGGGAATTTGCATTTGTTTTCTGCTTATTTTTTACGTACAATATGGGAAACTTTGCATTTTTTGCAAATTTAGATTTACACAGAGAAATTAGTATTTAAACTTGTGCAAGGTTACTATTTTATTTTAACCATTGTGGTTGCCCACTGAAGGCTGTCTCAGTGTTCTGAAAATATCCTGTGTGTGGATTAGAGTTACATCAACATTTCTTCTTTCTGATTTGAAAATCACTTAAGAACTCAAATAGTAAGCAAAATGTATAAGATGTAAGCCTTTCCTTCAAGGAGTTTTTAACTTAATTGAGAAAATAAGACAGTGACTCTGTGGAGCTGTGGGATACTACCCTGTGAGCAGCAACACGAGGAGTGCAGGGGAAGGGCGGGTGATTTCTTATCACAGTAACTTGTGGCACATTTTTATCGACACGTGTGTCATACAATGTTAGGAGAGTGGGTTGGCACAAATTCACAGTTTGAAAAATATGCAGTGGTGGCTCTTAGAAATGTGGTAAGGTGAACAGACGTGTTAGCAGAAGGGCTTGTACAAGTCAGTCTTGGGCTTGGAAGAGGGCCTGGAAGTGGCTGATTTGGGGCACTCTGGGGAAGGAAGATGGGCCGAGCTCTCCGCTGCCTCACAGTTCCCTCCCTCAGGCTCCAGAAGGTCACTGTTCACTCTTAGCAGTGGCTTTGCCTCCTACTTAAGATCAAAAATAGAAATCATCAGACGGAGACCCCCTTAACGTAATGCCATCAGCCCCCAGACCTCTGTCTTCATTCTCCCATAGGCAAGTCCCTTTACCTGTCTGTAATCTCATTGTCTCCCACCACTCAAGAGTTTGCATTAACAATTACGGCTCATACTTTATACTCCCTTTCAGATGGATCCCTTCCTATTGATGCTCAGATGTTCTCATATCTTACCCATTTTAAAAATAAAAAAAAGGGAGAACTTCTCTTGTTTGACCTCATTTCCTTCTCCAGCTACTACCCTGTTCCTTCCCCTTTACAAACTTCTCTGAAAAAAATATGTGTACTCTTTGTTTTCCATTTCCTAACCTCCCACATAGTCTCTCATCTCTGCTCCCTTTTGTCTGTGGAAATAGCTGCCAGTGAACCCTATTTCACAAAATCCAGTGGACACTGTTCAGTCCTCATTTCACTTGGCCTGTTAGCTCTACTCAACATGATTGACCAGTCATTTTCCACTCTTCTTTCTGTCTCCTCATTCTCTTTTGGTAGACTCATCTTTCTCTTTGCCTATTAAATATTGACATTTGTAAGGCCAGGCCCTTTAAACTGGCCCTCTTTAAACTTTCTCCTTTGACAATGTAGTTGAAGTCCATGACTTTAATTGTCAACAATACATAAATTTTTCTCCTCCAAGCTTTTCTCTCATATATATAGGTGCCTATTTTGGTTACCTCTGTTATGTGCCATTGAGTCAGACCCAACTCATAGCGACCCCTCCTTGGGTTTCCGAGGCAGTATCACTATGGAAGTAGAGTGCCCCATCTTCCTTCCGAGGAGTGGCTGGTGGGTTTGAACTGCCAGCCTTCTGGTTAGCAGTTAAGTGCCTTAGGCACTATGCTACCAGAGCTCCTTGGTTATCTCTAGTGCTACTCTAATAGAAATACCACAGGTGGATGGCTTTTAACAAACAGGAGTTTATTCTTTTAAAGTTTTGAGGGTAGAAGTCTGACTTCAAAGTGCCAGGCTCTAAGGCTCTAGGGCCTGGGTGAAAGCCCTTTGACCTTGGGCTTGAACTCTGCCTCTTGCTCCTGGCCCACTGGAGCTGGAGGCTTTCTTCACTTAGGCAGTTGCTGGCTGCTGAGGCTGACAAACCCAAGATCGACATGTAAAAAGGCACAGTCCTAATACTACCAAACCACATGGCAGGCCACTGATTCAAGTCCATTAACAGTCCCAAGATCGGCAGACAACATGGTAGGCTGCTGAATGATGACTCAGCTACATGCAGGATTCAAGTGGGCCCAAAGCTGCAGACCATTCCTAAAGTTTCTTGTGTCCTGGAAGCAGACCACATCCCTAAGGCAGCTACTCAGCTGCTCCAGTAGATTCCACCATGGAGTTGATTACCAGTCTCATCATGGGGAATACTAGATCCAGCTGCCCAGCCACTCAAAACCAGGCCCTGCCAAGTGGACATATAACCTTAATTACCACAGTACCCTACCCAGACCTTACGGTCTCAGAATCATGGGGTCTTCTGGTCTCCATCCATCCAGGTCTTGATTGCTATCTTCTCTCAGCCTTTTGTCTAATTTACCAGTAAGCCCTAGCAACACTGCCTCCCACACATACCCTAAATAGTCCCTTTCTGCCATCTCCACTGCCACCATCCTAGTCCTAGTTATCCATCTCACTTGCCTGCATTCCTGAGGCAGTTCCTCAGTTGGTATCCCTGTGTGCTCTCTGAAGTCCCTGCACTTTGTTTTCCATGGTACTGCGGAATTTTATTTTTAGAACATAACTCTGTTCCCATATACCTTGGCTTATTATCTTTTAAAGGCTTCTCATTGCTTTGAGGATGATTGAGTATAATTCCTAATATGGCCCTCTGTGGTCTGCCCCTTGAGCCTTTTCTTGATTTCTGTGCCCACCCATACTGGCCATACAGTTACTGAAATGTGCCACACAGGGCCTCTGCAGGTACTTTCCTTGTGCTTCAAAGGTGCTTTCTTTTCTCTCCAGCCAGCTCTCTCCTACTCTCATTTCAGATCTCAGCTCATCATCACTTCTTCAGTAAATCCTTTTATCCTCCCTGAACAGATTGGAACCCTCTAGTCTGTTATTTAAGGAATTCTGGAATTCTGGAAGGAGCTCTGGTGGAGTAGTGGATAAAGCATTTGGCTGCTATCCAGAAGGTCAGCAGTTCAAACCCACCAGCTGCTCTGTGGAAGGAGATGGGGCGATCTGCTTCCATAAAGATCACAGCCTCGGAAACCCAATGGGGGTCACTATGAGTCAGAACCAACTCTAAGGCAGTGAGTTTGGTTTTTTTTTTGTTGTTGTTGTTGTTGTTGTTGTTTTGGTAGTGCATTGCTTAAGGCGTTTTGACTCCTAACCAGAAGGTTGGCAGTTCAAACTTACCAGCCACTCCATGGAAGGAAGAGGGGACAATCTACTTCTGTAAAGATTTACCACCTCGGAAACCTACTGGGGGTTGTGATGAGTCAGAATCTACTCAGCAGCAGTGAGTTTGGTTTGGTTTGGAATATGTTGTTTGTTTAGCATTAACTTCAGAAGAAAGGCCTGGCAATCTGCACCTTAAACCCTGTAGAGCAGAGTTCTACTCTGAAACACATGGGGACACCATGAGTTAGAATCACCTTAATGGCACATGGAACTGCATACCATTAATTATACCTGTAGTATAAAGTATAAATTATCGTGTATGATTCTTTAACATCTGTCCTATCCAACTCTAAACATTGAGGACAGAAACTCTGTGTGATGACTGTGTGTTCTCCAGCCTCTACTGTAGTGCTTGCAGAGTGTAGGGGTTTCCTAGAAACTGGATGGGAAGAGCGCACAAGGTGGAGGAAATAGCATCTGCAAGGCATGAGGGGAAAAACCTCCAGCAGTTTTGGAGAAAACTGTAAGGACGACTCTGTAGCTAAAGTGTGCGTTTTGTAGTAGAAGATGGTGGGAAGTGTGGCTGGATCGGCAGGCTGAGCCCAGGCTGTAAGGGTCTGGTGTGCTAGTGTTTGTATTTGGTCTCCTTGGCTGTGGGCGGCCTCACACTGCCCCAAACTGGGGAAGGAGGAGGAAGTGTGGGATTGGATCTGGGCCTTATAAGATGATGGGTCTTTGGTCACATCTTTTGGTTCTCTCATAAGATGTAATGATTTTTAACCATTTTCTTTTTGTTTTCCATCAGCTACATCTGGGACCTTGGCTGGAATTATGGGAATGAGATTCTACAACTCTAGAAAATTTATGCCTGCAGGCTTAATTGCGGGTGCCAGGTACCTTACATTCTGTTGCTGCTCTTTATAGGGTTTAGTTCATTGCCCAAGATACTTTATACATTCAAAATCTACTTGTCTCAGTACAGCTGCTGCTGGGCAACAGCTAAAATCATTTAATTTATACATAAATAGGAAAGGCTGCCAAAATAGCTAGTTTAATGTGACAGTTAGATAAGAGTATTAATTCATTGCAGCAATGGTTTTTTGCTCATACTTACTCTCTCATCCATCCTGGGTCCTCTCTGCACTGGCAACAGCTTTAGTGCAGAGCCATGACTGCAGCCTTTGTGTGGCTTCCATATTTCTTGGGGAGCTCTGGTGGCTTCGTGCCTAAGGCATTTGACTGCTAACCAGAAGGCTGGTGGTTCAAACCCACCAACCACTCCTTGGAAGGAAGGTTGGGCAATCTACTTCCATAGAGATACTACCTCGGAAACCCAAGGAGGGGTCACTATGAGTTGAATCAACTCAACAGCAGTAAATTTGGTTTTTTGGTTTGTGCTAATGAAAATTTTATTAAAAGGTCATTTGATTGAATCCTGTTTTCTGATTAACTTAGGCTATAAAACCCAAACCAAATGGTTTTTAAAAATTTCACCCTTAAGTTTAATAAAAATAACCTAAAGGCAGGAGAGTAGAAAAAAACCCATTTTGACAAAAGATTACTTACCCAACTTTGATTGTAGTTATCATACTATTAACATAATGTTTTATACATAAAACAGAGAAGTCTTACAGACTAACGTCAAGAGCTGGGGTGATTGCAGATCGGAGTTCTAATCCTGCCTTGACCATTCACTAGCTCTCTGACCATTCACTACTCTGTTTTATGAGTGGAGGCCTAGATCTCTCTAGCCTTTAATTTGTTCATCTCTCAAATTCTTAACAATTGCACTAGGAACTCTGACTCAGGTTACTATTTTAAGACTTCCAGGCAGACTGCTCTTTGTCGTGTTCAATGCCTCCAGTGGTGGAAGTTTCATGTCCCCCTGCCCCGCCTTGGTATTTCCCTCATAGTGCTTTAAAAAAAGCTGAGTGCCTGCCTGTTCTGTCCTTTGTCTGACTCTGTTTATGTGTTTCTTTTGAACAGTTTGCTGATGTTTGCCAAACTTGGAGTTAGTGTCCTGACCAGACCCCATCAATCATAGTCTTGTCCTAGCTTGAACTCATGAAGAATTAAAAAACGACTATTTTTAATACAAATAAGCAGAAGGCTTAAATGTTTTCACGTATTCTGACCTTTTACTTAAACCAAATGAAAAAACAACACTGAACTTTGTAGGAAATAACTAGTCATTATCATTACAGCCTTATAGATGTAGTGATTATATACCATAAGAGCTTCTTGTTGAACCCTCATACTTTGATTCTTACGTATTGATGTAACCTCTTCTCTCTCTATTATAAGTAGAGTCTCAATGGGCAAAATGTTGGGTGTCAACATTTGGGGCCCTGAACTCAGTGCCCTACTCAGAGGAAAAGTGTGAAGAAGAATCTCTTAGGAGATTTTAGATAGCCGTCTTTTTCTTATCTTAGAGCACGGACCTAATTTGAAATTATGTTACATGAAATAGCAATGGAAATAAAGTTTTACTATAAATAACATTTTCTGTGGTGTCTTCATTGCCAGGGATGTGATAGCAGGAAGACAGAGGGACGTGAAAGTGTTTTGTTTTAATAATGTAGCAGCTACTCATTTTGACTAATTTAGTGACCAAAGAAAAGTTATATTTTTTAATCAGGTTATACATTGCATCGGAGCTTGTTTTGAAAATGACCTGTAGTGAGGATTTCTGAGATCAGGCTGTGCAGCAAAAAAATAAATTTTGTTTAACTGGTTCATCATAAATGTGAAACTGCCTACTTCGAGTCACCTAGTTTGTCTCCATGTGGACATATTAATGATCCTGGCACGTTCTCACTTTGATGTTTACTGCAACATAAGGAATTTACTCACATCCCAGTACCTTTGTGATTTAATTTTCCCCTCTTTAAAGAGAAATGGATATTTGCTACTTAACTCCACCATAACTGGTGTTGGTTGATTTTAGAATATAATTCAGGCACGTATTTATCGGTGATGTATTTGCTTAAGCTCCATGAAAGTGGTCCTAGTTTTCTCATCCTTAGTGTATGACATGATTTTGAGTACCTTCCCTATCCTTGTGACTCCCCAGATAAGATCCAGCCTGACCGGGCCTTTTTTTTTTTTTTTTTAACTGTGATTTGGGTGAAAGTTTACAGAGCCAATTCATTTTCTGTATAGCAATTTATACACATTTTGTTTCATGACATTAACTGCAGTTCCTCACAATGTAACAGCTCTCTTCCCACTTCCTCCCTGTAGTTACCTTTAACATGCCCTTCCCTCCCATGCACTCTCACCCCCGAGTTGTCTCCCTGTGCAAACACAGCCCTTCTGTTCTCCCATGATTGAGCGCTCCAAGTAGTGTATCTACTTGATGGAAATATTCGCCCCATATGCTTGTCTGTTGTATGGCTGGAAGCCACAGGAATGAGTTCAGTTCCAGACCTGAAGGCTAACTAGGGGCCATAGTCACAGGGGTCTCACCAGGGTATATCAGAACAGTAAACCTGATCATTTATTTGTTTATGATTTTGAGTTTTGTTCCACATTGTTCTCCCACTCTATCTAGGATCTCCCTGACAGGGCTATTTTTTATTATTATTACTATTTTTTATTGTGATTTGGGTGAAAGTTTACATACCAAATTCACTTTCCATACAGCAGCTCACACACACTTTGCCTCATGATATTGACTGCAATTTCCCAGAATGCAACAGCTCCCCTCTCTCTTCCTCCCCATAGTTACCTCTTCCACAGGGCCATTTTTAAAGCAGCATGCCCAGAACTCTACACAAGTGGGGTCTGGCCAAGGTAGTGTGTTCCAGAGTACGTTTCTGTTAACCAGAATCAAAGCAAGCTTTTTGGACAATCCTATCGCAGCAATGACCCACTTAACTTTTGGTATACTGAGACTCCAGGTCTTTTCCTCACATGCTGCTATTAATACTAACAACTACTAGATTGTGAAAGGGTTGGCACCTGATGGAGGTCACACATTTGCAAGTATTTCAGTGAAATAAAGTATTCCATAATTCTGGTGGAGTCAATAGTTGCCTTTTATCATAGAGTTGTGTCAAATTCATAGTTTAATAAAGACAACCCTTTGTGAACATAATTCATTGATCTGTATGTTCTCATGCCTGGTGAAATAAATTATCTTTTCACACATTAAAATCATGTAGACAGAAGATTTCATTATCTTTTTGATGTTTTTTGAAGTTGATATTAATGTGTTTAAAAGAACTGGTTGACTGAACATTGTGAAAATGTCAGTTCTGCCCAAAGCAATCTATACATTCAATGCAATCCCAATCCAGATCCCATCAACATTCTTTAGGGATATGGAAAAAATGATCACTAACTTTATATGGAAAGGGA